TTTTTCTGATAAATTTTTTTTTTCCTGAATCAAACGTTCCTTAGGAACAATCTATTTTTCCACCTTCTCTCAAAAATCAAAACATCAATTTACAATGTGCAAAGGGAGTGTTTCGAACGTGGAAAAATTACGGATTCTCATGAAAGTGATCGACGGAGTTTTATTTAACCATATTTGATAGAAGAAAATGTAAAAATTTATCCGAAAAAATTGTGAATAAAAATTTTAATGAATAATTCCATCCTACATGAGGTATTTTGCAAACCCCATGCAATGAGAAAATATCAACAAATTTTTGAGACAAAAATATCCCGGTAGTTACGGTGTCCGATGCGATTGTTTATTCTCTTTTACACTCTTCTTCTTCTTCCTTTTTCATCTTCTCTTTTGTTTTCACCTTCCCACAAGTTAAAAATCATTGATGTTAAACTTGATTTTTTGTCATTTCATGCTAAACTCTTCTACTTCAAAAGAGAAATATCTCAAACAATAACAAAAGGAAACTCCGTTTTTATTGATTCAGTTAAAAGCAAAGCTGAAATCCAAATAGCATTGAATGCAGGTCTCTTTGAAGCACTTTCTTGATTGAATGAGGAGCTTAGCTTAGTGTAACGTACGCTGATGAAAGAAACCCGGATTGGGAAAATGAAAATTAAGGCCAAAAACAGGTCTCTTTGAAGCACTTTTATTGTTTTTTTTACTCTAAAATCAATTTTCAAAATTTATCCTCGAAACAGTTTTTATAGACAAAAAAACATTCAAACACACCCAATGTCTTTTTGTGTCTAATATGTAGGAAAAGAGAACAAAAGAGAAAAAGCATCTTAGAGAGAAACAGACCGAGAGATGAGAACAACGAGGGTTAAAGGTTAATTTTTTAAATTCGGTCTCACTCAAACATAGTATTAAAAAAATTGATCCTATATTTTTTGAAATATTTTGGCGTACTGAACAGTTTTTATTAATATTCTTGAGAAATTCATTTTTCCATCATATTTTTAATAATTATGATTTTCAGGTAAAAAAAAAATATTTCCTCAACCAAGTATCTTCAAGATGTAAAATAAATGGGCACAGTGTTAAAAATAAAACACATAATAATATTATTTGTTTCGAATAGAGCTATTAAAAACGAACACGTATGTATTCGCTTTTTCAGATTCTGTCAAAGAAGTAGATGATTATATTTTTCTCAAGTTAGTCATGAGTCTTTTCCTCCTAAAACAATTTACCAAACATATAATATTGTTTTTAAGAAAATTCCCGCTATGATTTGCTGTAAAGTTAAAGTTAAATATTAATTAATATAAATCAAATATAAAATTAAATCTAATTTAGTTTGCGTAATCATATAGAAAATTGGAATCATATATAAAATAATGAATATAATTTCATTTTGTATCTTCCTAATTAACCACACTAAAAAGTCATCCTTTTGAGATGAACGTATGCTTTATATTATTTTATATTTTATTTTAGTTTAAAATTTATATTCATTAGTATTCAAAAAATTTGATTAAATTTTGTTTACAACTTTAATTTTGGGAAAAAAATATTTAATTAGAAAACAATAAATATAATAAAGTGATTGATATTTATTTATGATATGAATTTTAAGAAAATTTAAGTATAATTCATAAATATAATTCATGTAATATGAATGTGAGTAATGTAATTATTTTTTCACATAATCTTAAAATGTAATTAGTTCTAACAACTTTAAAAATATATATAAATATGATTCCGTCAATGTTATTGTTATTACATTAATTTTTTTAACAGGTTTTCGACAGAATCGCAATTTCGTCGAAAAGTCTAAGAATATAATTTTTTCAATTTATTTTTTTCAAAAGTTTTCGACGGAATTAATTTTTCGTAGAAAATTTTCCACAGAATCTAAATTCCGTCGAAAAGTTCACAAATATATTTTCTTTTTCATATATTTTTTTCAAAAGTTTTCGATGAAATTAATTTTTTGTCGAAAATTTTCAACCGAATTTAAATTTCGGAGAAAAGTCCACAAATATGTTTTCTTTTTCATTTATTTTTTTCAAAAATTTTGGACGAAAGTCATTTTTCGTCGAAAATTTTCAATGGAATTTAAATTCCGCCGAAAAGTCCACAAATATATTTTCATTTATTTTTTTCAAAATTTTTGACGGAATTCATTTTTCGTCGAAAAGTCTACAAATATTATTTTTTTTCATTTATTTTTTTCAAAAATTTTCGACAAAATTTATTTTTCGTCGAAAATTTTCGACGGAATCGATTTTCCGTCAAAATTTTAGACGGAAAACAGTTTCGGTGGAAAATTCTGTCAGTATTTTCGACGAAATTTTTTTCGTCGAAAAATTCCGTCGATAATAAAGACTTTTCTAATCGTATACTTTTAATGTTTTTTTAAAATATATTTTTTTTGAGATTTTTTTTCCAATTTATCGAATTTTTGACTAATCCATAATATTTAAAATTAGATTCTATTGAAAGATCTAAAATTTCTAGATCATATATATGATTATATCAAACAATAATATAATGCGTATCTTGAACCATCACAAAGCGGAAGCAACTTGATGCAGTAGAATCTTTCTCTTTATGACCTATTCCAAAAGTGGTTGCCTCAGTGCAATAGAAGTATGATGACTTACGGATTTAACCCCAATATAAATAGGTTAGAGAGGGGACCTAGCCAAATATTGTTATGATCAATTTTTCTAGTTTAAAACTTGAGGAATTCGAAATGCTAAGTCCTATGCTAACAAACACATTAGCAATATAGGTATCTAAAAAGAAAGATAACAATTGTTTTTGTTTCTTTATAAACCCTATTCTAATCTTTATTGAATTGCAAGAAATCAAAATCAACTAAATTCAATAAAGTAACTGTGATATCAATTCAACAATTAACAAGTATTGAGGTCCTGGGTTTCTATAGTTATGAATTTTCTCTTAACAATTTGCATTCCTGCATCCAGACTGCTATAACACTCTTCTTATTGAAATTCAACGTCTATAGCACCTTACTGAAATTTCCCAATTTCTGTTGTCCAAATCCAATCAAATCCTTTTCCAAAATATTTAAATCAGATCTTTAAATGTCTAATGATGAATTTCCACTTCAGGTTATCCCTAACCTTTGAAGGGTTCAATTAACAAAACATCAAAATCCTCTAATTTCCCAATTACATAATCATGAAAAAGAATGTCCAAAGTCCATTTTCATGGCTTCTTGAAACTAAAAATTATGTTAATCGAATTAAAAAAATAATGCATAGCAGTATTCTAAAATAAAGGGTACTCTCCAATCTTTTAGATCCCCAGCTAGAAACTTAACAAGCCATAGATACATTAAAACCAAATGAAATTCTGAACTTGAAATTAACATGCATTAAAACAATTATAGAAGAGATTGTAAATCAGATAGAGACCATTATTCAAACGAGATGATGATGAAATCTAAATGCTTAACAACAAAAGGGTGAAATCTAAATTCTGCACTTAAGTTCTGGTATTCTTGAACCCTTTAAGGGCGTTTGGTTCAGGAAATTTTTTTGGAATAGTAGGGAAATGAGATAGATAGAGAAATGATTGGAAAGATAGATAAAGTGAGATAGGTAAAAAAATGTAAAAAAAAGTTGTTTGGTGGGAAAAAACTTTACTGGAAAGATTAGGTAACTTTATGAGATCAACAGTGCATTAAAAGCCAGATAACCGGTTTTCCGAAAAATCCCACCTTCAAATTGGGTTTCTAAACAGTGCGGAAACTATGTTTCTCATAAATCCAGACAAATTGGATAGATGGATTTTTGGTGAAAAACGTTGAAACAAACATGGTGTTTCTAAAAGCCTCACTTGAGAAAGATAGATATTCGCTGAAAAGCTTCCAATCAAACACCACCTTAAGAAGATCTTCTCTTTCGTGCTTGCTTCGAACTTACAAATCTCAAACTAAAGTCTGGAATTTTTTTTTTTCTTCTCTTTCAAACTCAAGAACGAAGACTCTTTTTTTATAATTCCTAACTATAAACTAAAAAACTAAATCCAAGTGGCCATCCGATCAAGCTTCATCTACGGTCCAACTTTCTCCTTCCACTTCCAAAATTCGACTTTAGAGTTTTTTAGGCTGGCCTAGTATAATAACTTTTATTTTTATTTTGTATATTTTATACAATAAATCTCTCTTTCTCCTCAACTCATTTCATCCCATTTTATTAGTTAATCAGACTTTTTAAATGATTTTATTTTATGTTATACTGACCGTATATTCTGTTTGGATAAATTTTTATTGTCTTATTATTTTTTAATAGGCTAAATCAAATTTTTATTTTTTATAAATAAATCAAGCTTTATATCAATAATTATATTCATAACAAATAACAAATTAAATCAAACTAACACACTTAAATACAAACTTAAATGAATAAAGCCCCCAACTGATTAGGCCGTTTAACATCCCTAATTATAAGAGAAACTAATTCTCCAAAGTTAATATGAGCAGCAAGCCACCAACATGTCCGTGTTTGTTTGTACTGTCAATGACTAAGGAGCGGACAGCTGTTGGCAGCAGCGCAAGAAACCAGATGAATTAAGATATATAAGAAAAAAAATCCCCTCAGCGACTTGGGTTTCATGATACCGAAACTACCCCTTAATGACGTTATTTTGCTACCGCTGATTGGTCTTCGCAAGCTTAACGACAAGTCAACCCAGGAGAGGAACCCTTATTTTCCTTTTAAATATTTGTGAGAGTCACCGGATATTCCGGTCATCAGTCGTCCTTCCGGTTATCATACATCTGGGAGTCAGAGGAAAACAGCTCCGAATCGAGACCAGAATCGCCGGTTGCAAGTGCGGGCCACACACATTGATTGTATTTTTTTTTTTTTCGGTTAGACCGCGATTTTTTTTCTCCCTCTCATTCCGTTGGAAAAGTCCCTTACATCTTTTTATTTTGTTTTTATTTTATTTTATTTTTCTCTCTCTCTCATTTTGTGCTTCTTCTCTTCTCCGTGTATGACTCAGTAGAATAAGTTTGCAGAGCAAGAAAAACAACGAAAGGAAGAAGAAGAAGAAGAAGTAGCAGAGCCTCGCCGTCGCCGTCGCCATGGAGTTCGGAGCAGCCACCGCGACTCTCACTAAGAAGCTCTCGAACGGCTATGGCGTTTCTGGAAGATCCGCATACGACGGCGTTTTCGCTACTCCGATTAAGCTCAGAACTCCGAGTTTCTCTTCTCAGTTCGAAGATTACTGCGAGATTTTTGGTGGCTCTGGAGCTTCCCTCGGTTCCTCGATTCCGATTCTCGAACTTCCGGAGCTCAACGAGAGGAGAACGATGGATGATGTTCGGCGCTCGAAGCTCGATTACTCGAAGGTGTTCGGCGGGTTTGGGAATCTAGACGCTGCTGTGCCTTTTCAGGAGATGGTTGCTGAGCCTAAAGAGAATGATAGTTTCACCAATGGTGCATCGGCAAGGTGAGTTTGCTTGTTGAGTTTTTTTTTTTTTTTTTTGGTTAGGGTTTTTATTCAATGTCGACTTGGAATCATGTATGAGCATGCGTGTTTTTTTTTCTCTCTTGAAATCCATATTCGATTCGAGAATGTATGTTCTTTGAACTCGTTTTGTTTTTGTTACCGTTTCCCTTTTGACCGCTTTGTCGTTCATGTGATTTCTTTCTGTGAGAAGAGAAACCGTGTTTTCTTTTGCTCCTTTTTTATTTTATTCGTGTTGTGCTCTCGTGCAAGAAAGCGGACAGACAGCAAAATTGATGCCTGACATTTCATCACTTTTTTATTTTTTATTTTTAATTTCAAATCAATTAAAATCTACTGCTTCGTGGAACTTCATAATTACCTTCGACATTCCTTTAATTCTACTTCACCAGTTGAGGAGATCTTGTCGGTTAACGTTTTAAATACGTTAGGATTATAATTTTAAATTTGGAGTTTGACCCAGGATTTATGTAGCTCCTTAAATACAATTACTTATAATGTGGATGTCAAGATCTTTGTTTCAAATTTGTGCTTTTATGTTTTATTAACTGCGTGAAGCTCTTGTCTTGAATCTCAAGCGACCTTGACGTCCTCTCACTCCTCCCCCAAAGTTGGTTATACAAATTTCGGTCATTCAGCCTAGTATAAGAATGAGTTATTAGTTACGAATGACACTTAGTTTATGACATTATTATCTTACTGATAGGGATTTGTTCTCGTTATATATGAAATTTATACTTATCTTGTTCCAACAATGTTGCACATTTGTACAATATTAAGCAAAACTCTCTAGAAGGGATGGGAGATGTGAATGTTAAGCAGACTCATAAACTTATCTTTTGGGGAGGATGGTGATTTTTTTTATTTTTTAAAAAACTACTTTATTGTGCACACCAATTTTGTAGCATTAATGAGTGCTGGTAAAAAGGGGAACCTTGATAGTTGGCAGAACGATTGGTGTTGTTGCCATATGACCCGAAGGTTATAGATTCGATTAATGTGATCAGCCTTTTGCTAATGTAAGGTAAGACTGTCTACTATAGACCCTTTCTTGGACCCTGCGCATAGTGGGAAGTGGGAACTTTATAGCACTAGGCTACCTGTTAATGAGTGCTAGTAAGCTGCTTAGAATGCAGACATTGATCTAAATGATGTTCTTGACATTTGTTATTCTGTAGGTGTAAAGTCAAAGGAGGAAACCAATCATGCCAGGATGATTGTACTAGTACTAATTACTCAAAGGAAATTCCGGTGGTATCAAGGTCATCCAATGGTACCAAAAGGATCAATATGTCATATCATAAAGTCAATCAAGGAAGTGAAAATGGAACAAATGTGATGACGCATATAGCTCAACTCCAAGCTGTCCCTGCTTACACTTGTTTAGTTGAAGAAGTCAATTCGGTGAAGATGAACAAAGCTAATAATTCTATACCGGTAGCACAGGATGCTTATTCTGGTAGTCATTGTAATGAGGGGATAAAGGAAGGTGGACATTGTACTAAATCATTTATTGGTCCTTCACCTGCTAATGCTAAGAAACAGTCTTCCAACAGTGAAATGAAAGTTAAAAATAGATCTGATTCTATTGACTTGTTTTTTGATGCATGTGAGATTAGCAATGGATGTAATGAAACACATCATGTCAAATTTCCTCCTTCAGAGGCTAAGGCAAGTAACTTGGATAATCATAATGGTGACACTATGAGATCAATGGCAACCAAATGCCAGGCGTCTAAAAGTGGCCCGTCTGAAGGTGCTTCTTGTGCTGATTCACCATCATATGTAGATGACATGATAGACTCAAATTCAGAGGCTGCTGCTTCTGTAGCTGCTTTAAGAAAGGCAATAGAAGAGGCTCAAGTAAGAATAAAGGTTGCAAAAGAGTCAATGAGAAGAAAGAAAGAAGGTTTTCCTGATCGTGTCAAACGGAAATCTAATATTGATGTGAAAGCTGAGGGAAAAAAGGAGACTAAACTGGCATATAAAACAATGAAACATGAAGAGATTAATACAGGGCAAACATTTGGAGAAATGGATGCTTTGCCACAAGTTTCTTCTGGGTTAGGAAAGCCAACGATGAGAAATGAGCAAGTAAGATCAGATCTTGGGGCTAAAGAAATGTGTGTTGCCAAAGAAGCTGTACAAGAAGCTCAGAAGAAATTGAAATCAACTCAAGTAGAACATAAGGAAGAGGTTAAACAGAAAACAGATCATAAAGGAAAAGTTCTTGAGCTTAAAGAGGCAGAAAATAATAGGGAAATGCTGTATATTAAAACCACAGGTAGGAATGTCTATGAAAAACCAGAAGAATCTGATCATACAACAGAAGTGGTTAAGGAATATTGGGAACAGGAGAATAATGAAGAAAAGGTCTGCGGGGGTAGTGAGGCACGTGCATTTGAAGAACTTGTCCATGAACCTAATCATGGTTGTCAAGTTGTAGACGAAACAAAAGTGATTCAGGAGACACATGATAATAGAACAACAGACAAGAGATTGAAGGTTAATGAAGATGGGGAAGTTGAGAACAAGGTTATGTCTTTTCATGAACTAGAAGACTATGAAAGCAACCTGGGTGGGCAAGGGTTAATAATAGAAAATGAATTTTTTTTTGCTTTTAAGCCAGAAGAAGAGGGTGAAGAGGTTGAAGGGTCCTTTGAGCAGGAAGAATGTAAAAAAAATTTGAGACCTATTCAGGAACTGGGAGAGGTTGAGAAGAACATTGTTCAGGAGCAAAAAAGAAGTGAGGACAAAGTTGAGGTGTCCAGTAAGCTGGAAGAATGTGAATTGACAGAGTTTCTGGAGCCAATAGACAATGAGAGACAGTGCAGTCCACATCGGTCAGACTTCATAAATATGGAGAAAATAATAGAGAACTTGGGGTGTGTAGAGGAAAGAAAGAGAAAGAATGAATCTGGTTTTCTGTATGTAAATCAAGAGAGAGAACATTCCTGTCAGAGAGAAGCCGCTGAAAATATGTTAAGCAATGTCTACGTGGGGGAAAATATTGTGGACCATATTCACTATGAGGAAGAAATTTATGAAAGAATTACAGAGGATTGTGAATTTGATGAAAATGAGAGGATTCAAGATGTCCAAGCAAGCGGGAATGAACTTGAAGGAGCCACAATTCTTATGGAAGAAAATGATAGGGAAAGGAAAGATAACAAAGAACCAGAAGTAATTAGAGCAACTCGAACTGATCCTAACTACGAGGAGATAAAAGCAAAGGAAGCTGGCAAGACAACAAACACCTGTTCTATCTATGAGCCTGATGTAACTGAGAAGTTGAGGGTATCTCAGGTGGCTGATACAATTATTGAAAATGATGAAGCTCTTGAAGTAACACCGGAGGTTTATTCATGTGAGAATCACGAAGAACCGGAATCTGTTCAAGAGGCTGATGATTTCAGTGAGAAACATGCAGTTGAGACTTCTGCCTTCATTCAAGATGCCCTTGAGCTCAGTGAAGCAGTTAATCAAATGCAAGATACATTTGAAACAGTTTCCTTTGAAGGTGTTGCCACAAATATTGGTGAAACTGACATAAAGGTTAGGCAAAATGAAGATCAGTGCTTGGAAAAAGCAGAAAATGACTGCAATCTGGCAACGCTTGTTGAAGAAACAACTCCTGAGGCTGTAGAAATCTGTAAGGATGCAAAGGAGGCTAGAGTTGCATTAAATGAAGAGATAGATGAGAATCAATCTATCTCCTCCAATGAGGAAAATTTGTTTGACAATGAACACAATATAGAAGCATCTCAGATACCTAGTACGTCGGAATGGAAATCAAGCCCCTTCAAAGAAGATGAGGTTAAATCAATTCACAGCAATCTTAAGGAGAGCGATCAAGTTTCCATGACAATGGATGAGAAGGAGGCTAATGGTAATTCACAAAAGTTAGAGCTGGAAAAGGAACACCTGAAAAAAATTGATGAAGCAAAAGAGAGGCAAAGAGAAAGAGAAAAGGAGAAATTAGCCGTAGAAAGAGCAATTCGTGAAGCTCGTGAAAGGGCATTTGCTGATGCCAGAGAAAGGGCGACTCTAGAGAGAGCTGCTGCTGAAGCACGTCAGAAAAACATTTCTGATGGACGAGAAAGGCTAGGAAAAACCAATAGTCAAGCAAATGACAAGACACGGGCTGAGAAGGCTGCTATGGAAGCAAAACTTAAAGCTGAACGTGCTGCTGTAGAGAGAGCAACTGCAGAGGCACGAGCCCGTGCCCTGGAAAGGGCACTATCTGAGAAGGCTGCCTCTGAAGCCAGAAATAAATCTGACAAGTCTGTTGCAGAGAAGGGCTTTGGTGCTTCCAGAGATAATGGAATGAAGCAGAACTTCCACTCAAAATCTTTCAGCTATGGTGGTATGTAATGTTATAAAGTTCTGCTATAGCTGATCCATCTTTACTGTCGTTTTCTTATTTCAGAGATTCTTTATTACAGTATTTTCTGTTTCAATTTTTGTTGATTCTGTACAAATTGCATTTTATTGAAGAAGTTCGTGATTCTACTGATGTATTTAATGGAGCTGATGGTGATTCTGCTCAGAGATGTAAAGCTAGGTCCGAGAGGCATCAGAGAATAGGGGAACGTGTGGTATGGTTCCTGGTTTTGCCCAGTTTTGTTAATATGTCAAATGGTTCCTTCATTCATTGTTGTGGGCTATGCAGGCAAAGGCTCTTGCAGAAAAGAATATGCATGATTTGCTTGTGCAGAAGGAGCAACAGGACAAAAATGTAAATATCTTCTCTCAAAATTTTCTGTTCGCATGTTTCACAATTTGTCTTACAAAATCATATTTTCTTCAGAGGCTAGCAGAAGCTCTCGATGCTGATGTCAAAAGGTGGTCAAGTGGAAAGGCAGGAAACTTGAGGGCATTGCTTTCAACATTACAATATGTATGTGTAAACATTCTAAATATACCTCTTTAGAATTTTAGCTCGGTGCATGTCTTCAAATTGTTATTTTTTGATCGATAGCATATGAACGAGCCATGAATATATTTTCCCCTACTGTTCATGAACCCAATTAAGAAAGCGAGCAGTAGTGATAAAATTGTTTCTCTGTGATCAGAAGGTTGGGGAGTCATGTACACCGGGTCCCCTTCTTTTTTTTCATGAACCCAATCACTGTAAACTGGCGGGGGGAATTGAAGTGGGGGAGGAATACCTTTACCTAGGCTGACAATGAGGAAGCGTTCATTTTTACATGTAAATTATTTGAATACTTGTTTTGACTGAAATTGGACCGGTACAGAAATATTGAGAATGTACATGTGAATGGATTGATAAGCATTAATATTATGTTTTTGTATTGTACAAAAGTCACTTTCATTAAATACAACCAAATGTTTGCTTTGCTTGAACTTCCATAGTTACTTATTTTAGTACCATGCCTTTTAGTTTATCATTGGCATTGCTCGTATTTTGCTTAGGAATTTTTTTTTTTACTCCACTGAAAGCTTGTATTTTGCAGATCCTTGGGCCCGATAGTGGTTGGCAACCGATTCCTTTAACAGATATAGTAACCAACACTGCAGTAAAGAAAGCTTATCGTAAAGCTACTCTTCTTGTGCATCCTGACAAGCTGCAGCAGCGGGGGGCAAGCACTCAACAAAAGTACATTTGTGAGAAGGTTTTTGATCTTCTAAAGGTTCGGCCCTCATCCATCATTAAACATGAAAATTAGTTTTTAATGAAAATTAGTTCTTGATCTTTACTCCAATCTTTCTCCAACAATGGAAAATCACTTTTTTACTAATATTCTCCGTATTTGATATAATGGTTTCAACCTACAGTTACAATATACACCAATATCTATGTGGGTTCCCTTAAACTTTTTTTGATTAAACTTAAATAGTTATATATGTAGTTGTATTTGGGATTTAAATTGTCTCGTGTTCCTAACAAAACATTCTTGTGTTTGGAAGCGACATTTTTGAAAAAATAAAGAGCAATTCCATCCATATCCATATATGTATATAAACCGTTACTAGGTATATAAAATTCAAAATTTTTAAAGTCAAATTTATTTTTCATATTATATTCATATTTAATAAAAAAGTTATATTCTTGGTCAAAATCCATTTTTTGTATTGTAACTATCATTCCTTTAAAACTTACATGTTGACAACAACATGCCAGTTATAATATTAAAAGAAAGTATTTTTTTGTTGTGTTTCCCATATTACGAGGCCAGACGGTATCGATGTTAGGGAGCAGACGGCCGGTTTTTGAAACGTTATCTCTCTTTCTGTACCATTATTCAGATTACATGAAACATGTTTCTCCTAGCTGAAGAAATAAAAGGCTGTTTGATTGTGTTCTGTTTTTTTGTTTTTAAAATTGTTTTGTAGAATAATTAAGGAAATAATTATTTTTTGTGTTTTTTTTTTTGTTTTGTTTTGAAAATTAAAAACCGAAACAGAAAACAAAAACAACCTACTCTAAATTTGATTCTAAAAACAAAAAATAATTATAGTTTTTAATTTTTCTTTCTTTCTGAAAACTAAAAATATTTTTAAAAACAGTAATCAAACAAAGCCTAAATATCAAATTTCGTATGTTTTTTTATTTGCCAGGAAGCTTGGAACAGATTCAACATGGAAGAACGGTAAACAGCAATCAGTGTTGCGCTGCCAGATCGCAATGCGCACGGTGGTGACGATTCTTTCAAGTGTATTGTTCAATGAAAATTAAGCTCATGTTTTAGCTGGCCTGCCAGTGGAACTTTCAATATATAGCTCATCTTGTACTGTTCCGCATTTTCTTTATTTAATTTGTTCCGCTTAAATCGGGCCTTTAATCTAGGAATAATTTACCCAGAAGATAGCTAACTAGCAAAGTAATTCATTTTTGAGTGATTTAATTGGTGGTTGAATAATTTCACATTAAAAAAATATTTTAACGGCTTATACATGCAAAGAGACTATTACTAGTTAACTTATGCAATTTATTAAAACACAATTCATGTCATAAACTCGCGAATTATCTGTCCTACATGTATTTCATGAGCCAAGTACCATTTTGTTCAATCCATTTTTTAAAACTCAATTGCAAGCACAAGACATGTGTTGCCAAAACTTGTCTGACAGATGATCCCGATAGTTGACAAATGACAAATGAAAAATGACAATACTTGCGTTACATACGACTCTTCATTTATTCAGCTGCTACTATATGTACCCAGCTCAAAATGCCAGCTTTCAGACTTGATCAACCGAGAGTTTTTTTTTTTTTTACTCTGCCAAGATGATCATCGACCATGCGTTTACTTTCCAAGCACATGGAGCATTATGGCATTCTGTGCATGTAATCGGTTCTCAGCTTGCGGGAAGATAATTGAATTTGGACCTTCAATAACTTCGTTGGGGACCTCCGACCCCCTTTCTGCTGGTAAGCAATGCATGAAAAACACTTTTGAGTCAGTTATATCCATAAGACTTTGGTCCACCTGCAAAATGCGATTGTTATTTCATGTAACCTCTACTAGCCAAGTAACCAATTCAAGCACACCACTGCATTTATGCACCACAGCCACAATACCAAAATAAATGCGGACTAGGTGAAAGTGATAAAGAAATCCACGTCACATCCAGTTTTTCACAAACTCGATCAATCCACTCAACCCCTACCTATTGATTGTTTTGCTACTGTTCATTGATCAAGTTGACAGAGCTGGTTGCTCTTTACGTCGTTATAAGTATGCAAAAGTCGACAGAGCTGGTTCCTAAATACTGAGATTATGACAAGACAGTATAGTATTTGAAATTCTAACTAAATATTTTGATTCTACAAATATTATCAATGAAAGGCTGCTTCATATTTTTGCTAGCATGTGGAAGCAGAAGTTCGAATCATTTGCAACCACAGTTCAAACATAACACACCTCAGTCCTTACGTCACTAGAACACATTGTCTTTTAATTGACCTATTTCTACTACCTCCACCTCGCTCACAACATTTGAGCTAAAAGAGACCATCCAGTTCTATCAAAATTTGTCATCCTTATTGATACACTGAACCCTAAAATCCTTATCTTTACAGGCTAAAATATCACATATTATGTATGAAACCCTTTAAACATTGAGCGGCTGTTGGAATTGAATATCCACACAGATGCAAGAGACAACCGCACAGAAGTATCTACAAATAAAACTTTTCTTTTCTATTCTTGCTTTCTTTCTCTTTTTATTTTTCTCTTGATCTCTTGATCTACATTTCATACAAACTATCAAAGGCTATTTATAAGCTATAAAACTGACCAACATAACTCCACACATAACACCCTCATTACTTTATAACTGACATAACTGACTCATTAATATTCTAACTGACATAACTTCAAACTCATTAATGTCCACTAACACAAACCTAAAGACATGACTCTTCACCAGAGAACTCTTCACATTTCTATTTTCTATTTTCTATTTTTATCTCATTAAAATTTAACCCAACAAAACTCCCCCTTAAATTTTAATTCTTCTCTTTTGAATTTTCCACCGGTTGATTTTTTTCGCGCTGCTGCACTGCTTCCATGTTGCACTCCTTTCTTCAATTTTTTTTTTTTTGTCCGGCCGTTCCTTCATTGGTGGAAGATAGAAAGTCTTGAATTTTTCTCCGTCGACCTCATCCTCCGATATACTTCCACATTCATTCTTACACGTATGATCATCACACAAGTCATCATACTGATCAGTATCTGTATCACTATAACGTCCCATTAGTTTTACAACACCTATGCCAATTTTAATAATTTCAGATTCAACATGTGCTACATTAATAGCATGTTGGGCCTCTTCAACCACAGTAACCCCATCACTCATTGAGGACCATTGATTCCCATCATCAAGCAAATAACTCAACGCATCATTTTCTGATTCCGCCCCACGATCTTCTTCTGGTTTACACTTGAGCCAAAATGATTTCGCCATAAAAGTAACTCTAGGCTCCTCATCGCCGGGTTCCCTATCCACAATCACATCTTCCATTTTTCCGCTCTCAGTTTCTTCATCGCCGGGTTCTTCTTCAACAAGTCCAGCTTCCACGCGCCTCATCGATAGAATCTCAGACAACCGTCCTCCAGGGAAATGGTCTCTTTTCGGTGGAGTCGACATCTTCCACTTCCACCATGAATTCAATGCAGTCTCCGACTTCTGACTTCCAACCCGAACCGCGCCTATGCCGGTCTCCGACATCAACCTCATCACGCCGGGGTCGAGCTCTTCTCCAGAACATGAACTCGGATTCGCGGTCTCCTCCATGCCGGTCTTCATCAAGCACCTCGGCTTCTCAATCTCCTTTCCGATTTTCGACTCTGTCTCCAGACACTCAGGTTCCACGAAGTCTTCTACCTCGACAATGGACTCGTCATTCCCGTCCTTCTCTGCTTCGATCTCGGCTCCTTCGTTCTCCTCATCTTCTATCTCGGCTCCTTCGATTCCGCCCCACGATCTTCTTCTGGTTTACACTTGAGCCAAAATGATTCCGCCATAAAAGTAACTCTAGGCTCCTCATCGCCGGGTTCCCTATCCACAATCACATCTTCCATTTTTCCGCTCTCATTTTCTTCATCGCCGGGTTCTTCTTCAACAACTCCAGCTTCCACGCGCCTCATCGATAGAATCTCAGACAACCGTCCTCCAGGGAAATGGTCTCTTTTCGGTGGAGTCGACATCTTCCACTTCCACCATGAATTCAATGCAGTCTCCGACTTCTGACTTCCAACCCGAATCGCGCCTATGCCGGTCTCCGACATCAACCTCATCACGCCGGGGTCGAGCTCTTCTCCAGAACATGAACTCGGATTCGCGGTCTCCTCCATGCCGGTCTTCATCAAGCACCTCGGCTTCTCAATCTCCTTTCCGATTTTCGACTCTGTCTCCAGACACTCAGGTTCCACGAAGTCTTCTACCTCGACAATGGACTCGTCATTCCCGTCCTTCTCTGCTTCGATCTCGGCTCCTTCGTTCTCCTCATCTTCTATCTCGGCTCCTTCGTTCTCCTCCTCTTCTATCTCGGCTCCCTTGGCCGCAGTCATCTATATCGTCTTCTTCTCCGAGTCGTCTCTTACGCGCTCCGACACGTCAATCTCCTCCGCGGATGCGTTGTCGTTGGCAACCTCGGATTCCGCCATCTCGGTCTCTTCTTCATCCGCAAGATTCTCCTCATCTTCATCATCATCATTGATGATTTCATCTTCTTCTTCATCAATCAGATCAAACCGTCCAGGTAGATATTTCGCTATAAAGGCTATTTGAAAATTATTCCACATGTTATTAAAATCGCGGCAGTCCCATGTACGGAACCATTTGATTGCGCTTCCTCTGAATCTACGCAAAGCTTCATGCCATTTGTCCTCTTCAAAGGTTTTTTCTCTCCGAAAATATTCTTTTAGACAGAGTAAGAAGACCAATGCTTCATCTTTATCTCCATAAAAGAGTGGCACTTCCATCTCGTTCTTTTCCTCCACAGCCCAAGCTCTGATACCAATTTGTTAGAATTGAATATCCACACAGATGCAAGAGACAACCACACAGAAGTATCTACAAATAAAACTTTTCTTTTCTATTCTTGCTTTCTTTCTCTTTTTCTTTTTCTCTTGATCTCTTGATCTACATTTCATACAAACTATCAAAGGCTATTTATAAGCTATAAAACTGACCAACATAACTCCACACATAACACCCTCATTACTTTATAACTGACATAACTGACTCATTAATATTCTAACTGACATAACTTCAAACTCATTAATGTCCACTAACACAAACCTAAAGACATGACTCTTCACCAGAGAACTCTTCACATTTCTATTTTCTATTTTCTATTTTCTATTTTTATCTCATTAAAATTTAACCCAACAGCGGCGGCGTTCAGCTTCTTCCTTTTGCCCCATGCTGGCCCAGACATCTGTATAAACAACATTAGCTCCTTTAACAGCTTCTTTGGGATCATTAGTTATCTCAATCTTGCTGATTCCAGCTTGCCGTCCCTTCTCAACTGTTTTCTCATCAGGTTCAAAACCCTTTGGACTCGCACAAACAAAGTGAATAGGAATTAAAGATGCCATCTCCAACCATGAATGGACAACATTATTTCCATCTCCAACATAGGCAATCTGATGTTTGTAGCGGAATATGTTCAGACAATTATACTCTTAAAGCAATGCCATCAACAATTAGAAAGAATAAAACTCTTCTAACATCGGATTGCCCAGGCTCATTTCCCAGGATAAAATCTTCTAACTCTCCATCTAGTTCTGGTCTTGGGATCAAAACTTCTTTTCTCATATCTAACTCGACCATATTCGCTAGTTTTCCCTGCCGCTGAGTGAGTTCTTTTCTTCCTGATCTATCTTCAGGACGGATCTGGGGTGGGAACATGGTCCACCTTCGTTATCTTTAACAGCTTCGAAATAACACTACCGTGACTCCTTTTGATCTCCTTGGATAGTGACTACTTCATTCTTATTGCTCTCCATATTCAATTTTTGATGTTTGGTGGACACAAGCATGTCCCACTTGTGAATGATTGGCCTCCCCAAGATTATGTTATATAGGGATGGAAAGTCGGCCACGATGAACCTTACTTTCTCCGACTTGAACGCTTTCTTTGTTCCCGGGGTCAACCTGAGATCTATTTATCTCTTTGGTGGGGTGTTTTCTCCGTTAAAGGCAACCAAAGTCATATTTCATGGTTTCAAGTCTTCCTCATCCAGGTTCATCCTCTTAAAAGCATCCCAGAAAATGATATCTGCACAGCTGCCAGGATCTACGAATATCTTCTGATGTGTCTCTAAAATATTATGTATTAAGTGACAAAATCAGTACCTAATTGAGCAAAAATTAAGTAAATACACATGATAACTGAGAATTAAATGGCTATTTTATTTTTTGTAAAATTCTCACAAGAAATTATCATGTTTATATGGATTTTGGGACATTTGGGGAGATTACAATGAAGCAAGTAAGAGGAAAAATAAAAAGAAAGAGGCTAGCCCCTCTCCAAGCTTGTAGCGCCAAATTACCAACATTTCCACGCTAGTAGCATAGCAATGGCGCTACTAGCGTGGATTCCAAGAGTCTAGCATGGATCCCAAGCCACCATCGTGAACTTCATGCTCTAAGTGTCTACTTTCTCCAAGCTTCAAGCGTTACTTCCAAGCTAGTAGCGTCAACATGAAGATAATAGTGTGGGCATGGCACCTTTAGCACCGTGACTGTTGAGGTCTCTGTTTGCTCACGCCAGAAGCTCCATCTCCATGCTAGACACACCAAACATCAATTCTTTCCCACACTAGTAGCATGGCAGTGATGCTTCTAACATGGATGATTCAAGTGCTATGATATCGTATCAAGGATGTGATTTTAATGAATATTTAATCAAGGATTTGAATTAAGATTTATGTGAGATTTAAAAAGATACTAACTCTTCAATTATAAAAGCAAGGTTTTGGGAAGAAAGAAAGACGCAGGAGACTTAAAGAATGGTAAGACCAGAGACTCCGAGTGAATTGAGAGACGAAGATCGAAGGAGATCAAAACAACCATGAAGATCAACCTTCTTGCTTTCTCGTTCATGACTTCTTATGTTTTCTTTTATTTATTTATTTTGTTTAAGCCAGCTATGTTTGGCTAATTTTTTTTTATAGTTAGAGATATGGATCCGATGTGAATCTTTGTTTGGTTAATTCTTTTCATTAATAAACTATCTCAAATTGTTTGTGTTTACCTCGAATTATATGTTTAAATTCTTTTATGATTTAATCAATCATATACGAATAAAGAGGATTAGGGTTCATAATAAACATATTGGGATCTTAGCCATGACTGGGGTAGAACACTAATTCTTACGTGATCTAGACATAGACATGTAGGAATTGCGAACTTTTATAATTCATCATGCTTAAAGCTTAATCCAAAAAGAATTCTAACACATTAGTATTCCAATTGGGTTAAAAGGTTAAAGAACTAAGACATTAACATTTAACCAATTAATTATTACATGATGAATTGTTCGAATCAATTGGGATACAATATTATTAAATTGAATTAGATTATCAAGATGAATCGAAGGTGAAGTTGACCTAGCTACAATTTCAATTATCGATTTTTAATCCATCCTTTAATCGTTTTGCATTCTGTTTTTGTGTTTGTTATTGAGAAGTTATTAATTGTTTCTTTTATAATTGTTTTCCGTCAGTTTAATCATCACATTTTCCAAATTATTTTTGATTTGTTCAAATTAAGGAGACTAGTAAGAATAGTGTTTGGATTCCCTAATCCTCGTGGGAACGATACTTTCTCATCACTTTATTATTTGTTTGACCGGTATACTTGCCGTGAGTACAACATCTTCTTGACCCGACAATTTACCAGGGTACCCATGATGACCAAACCATCCTTGTGACCTGTCACCACGTCCTTTAAATCATCTTTAGTGAAGTAGAAAAGTGGGGGATCCGGCTTGCTGGGATTTTCTTTGAATTTTGGTTGATCCCTAACCGATAGCACTTCTCTAAGATATTTTCTTCTAGCACCTACTGTATCTCCACCACAACCTAGAGCTCCACTGATGACGTTGCAATCAAACTTAGCTTCAGGAAATTCGTCATCATTAGACTCTGTATTCTTCCTTTTGTCGACTTTCTTCTTCTTTTCTTTCACTAGGCTTTTGTTCTTACTGCGGCCCCTTTTGTTTTCTTTTATTGTTCTTCCATCTTTGTGTTTTAATCGAGTACTGGTGTAATTTGCCTTCCTTGATGTATTTTTCAATTTCATATCTAAGGTCCCAACACCGATCTGTAATGTGCTGGCGTCCGTCATGAAACGCACAATATCTGGAGTGATCCAACCCAGCTTTGTTAAAGATATGCCGTGACCGCTTAACCTTTTTAATCTCGGTCAATGCTTCCTCCCGCCAAATCTGGGAGCGATGTACATTCAATGGGGTATACTTCTAGTATCTTCCTATCTGGAATCCGTCATTCGAATTTCTACCTCGAAAATTAGCTTGCCTCTTATTTCTAGGTCGTTCCTTCTCCTTTTGGGCTGGACTCTTCCTTCTTGGACTTCGACCTCTGTTGTCTTTGTTTGGAATAATTGCTATCTCCTTTTGTTGCGGCTCCAAATATTTCTTTGACCGGGCTCTGAACTCTTCCAAGGTTCTAACCGGGTTCTTGTAGATTGATTTAGCTAGTCGAGATGAACCATCCAACCCAGCTACAATCAAGTGCACATGAACATTTTCTTGTAACCCTAGAACTTGCAGGGTTGCATCCTTAACACGGTCCAAGTATTTCTGGAGCGTCTCGCCTGGTTGTTGTCTAATCTTTCCAAGTTCGAACTTTTAATTTAGGCGCTTCTTGCTTGTAGCGAAATTCAGCAAAAATTTATTTCCAAATTCTTCAAACGATCCAATTGAATTTGTCGGCAGAGTTGAAAACCATGTTTGCGCCGCTCCCATCAGAATAGTTGCAAATATCCGAGAAATAATTGGCTCATCAATTCCCCTTATGTACATGTCCGTATCAAAAGTATCTATGTGGACCTGAGGATCCTGGCTTCTGTCATATTTCGGCAGATGTGCCGAGTCAAACTCCTTTGGGAATGGCGCATTCACGATTTCATCCATGAAAGGACTATTATTATACTGCCCTCTACGATACTTTCTTTTATATGCGCTAGCTTCACTATGACCCTGAACTTGAATATCTCGGTTCTGCTCCATATTTTGGGCTCTTTCATAATTTTGATCTTGACCACCATTCACAATTCGACCATGGTCAACTATACTTCGGCCGTCATTGCCTCTAACTCGGAGTTGATTGTTAACTTCATTGGCATTTCTGACCTCGTTTTCAGCATAATTATCGGCATTTCCACTGTGGTGAACTTCTCTATTCCTTTCTTTTTTTCTATGTTCTTCACCTCGGACTTGGCCTTCAGAACGCTTCAGATTCCTCCATTGCAGCAACCACTCTTCCATCTCTTGCATCCTTCGAGCATGTTCCTATCTTTGGAGATTATTACAGTTTTCCATCTCTCCCATCTGTCGTAAAATTGCATTAAGGGCGGTTTACACAGTGTGAGTATTTGCATCCACAGCTAGAGGTTGTTGAGGTGCTAGTTGACCTGGAGCTAGTACCGAGGTGGAGGCCGTAACCGAGATGGCATCGCTGACGCGCACAACGTCATAATCAGGTGCAACACCACTATCTGGCTCATTGGGAGGTTGATCCACCTCCATCAAAACTGAATTTGCAGGCGGCGGCAATTGGCTGTTACTTCTAGTATTCACCATATTTGGTCATGGGAATAGAAATTTACCATTTCCCCACAGACGGAGCCAATGTTCTGTCCTAGAGATAGAGATGTCTAGTCAAATATCTATGGATTAGATATCTTTGAGTATAGCAGATCACCGTGCACTAACATTAATAAAGGCATTAGCCAAAAGGGGTGATGTGTATGCAGAATGATAACATAACAATAGAGAGAGAATATGTGTCCATACCTGTAGGTTTTACCTCTTATTTATAGGATTTATCTTGGGTAGTGAAATTCTGGACCTTTGGTGCCTCCTCTGAAAGCCCCTGTCTAGGTTAATTGTTGTCGTATTAGGATTAATATCATAGATTTATACTTTCCTTTTTATATATTAGTTTCATCTTTCTATTACCCATTATTGAACTTTATATAATATGAGCTTCTGTTATGAGTCCATAACAACACTTAAAAAATAAAGATAAAAAAAACCATCAAACATCTTTAAAAGAGCCTATCCATCCAACATTAAGCTAAGGGAAGTGAATAAATAAGTGACACAAAAACAATCTACGCGCAATGGAAACAGGTAGCTTTATGTATTTATGTGGTGATACACACAAACATTACTAGCAACAGAGAATATCAATATTAAGAAAGCATTAACATTTGAAAAGACAACCTGGCCTCGTAAGCCACGGGCATTACAATTGCCAATTCTCAAAGCCCAAACCTTAGTCTAGAACAGAAGAAGAAAAGCAAGATCCAAAGACATCTTCAGGGGCCCAAAAACACGAAACCATATTTATTTCTGCGTGATGCCACTAACTGGAGTTTCTTCAGGTTTAGGAAGAAGCCCTTTTTCTATGCAGGTTTCAACGGCTCCTGTGTACATGTCCTCTAAGCTGTACTGAAATTTGAACCCCAAGTCTATGATCTTCTTGGAAGAAAATTTAACAATTTCCAATTGATCTGGAATATCCTTGAACCTAATTAAAAATCCAATATTGTGCACAATTAGCATAGCATACATTTTTATCTATTATCTATGCACATATTATTGTGACTATACATAAAGTCAATAAAATGAGATATTTAGAAAGGTTTACTTTGTGGGGACATTGTACTCTGGGTATTTTTGGTTAATCATTCTTGCAATGTCATGAATGGTGGTCTCATATGCAGAGCATATGTATCTCCCTTCAGCTTTTGGATGTTCAAATAGGAATATATGACCAAGACAAAGGTCATCTAAGTGGACAAATTGGCCTTGCTTTATGATCGAGTAATGGGCCTCATTCCCTGCCAAATTCGTAAGTACAACTCGTGACATTAAATATCTTGAATTAGTTGTTACAAGAATAATAACACCAGCAATGATAAGTTTAATGAGTGTTCTTTTGTATCGCCAGAAAAGTTTTGAAATAATAGTTAGATAAGAAGCAGCAGTAAAAAATCATCAATTGATATAAGAATCAATATAATAATGTCAATTTTTATTTAGATATGATCTGGTGTTTGAATTCTTAAAGGTTTTACTAATTCAATTTTGGATTTGAATCCCTTCACTTTCCTCACAAATTGTGACTCTAAAAAATCAAATTCGTTACTTTTTTGGTCATGTTAAATACTATTATTTAGTTGGGTCGTCACTAGATCAATAATTTTTGGATAAAAATATCAATTTTATGTCATATTAATTCCTATTATAAATTTAGAATTTTCAATGTTGTCAATGTATGTATAATGCACCTGTGATGAGTGAAAGAGCAGTGATTAGGCTAGGTGGCATTGTTGGCATAAGAAAGGGACCAACGACGAGAGGTGGAATTACTGAGATGAAGTCTATGTTATGCTCTTTGGCAAATTTCCACGCTTCTTGCTCCGCTAACGTCTTTGAAACGAAATACATCTACAAAAATGGAGCCATAATATATATATATATATATATATATATATATATATATATATATATATATATATATATATTGAATACCCATAATTATATTTTCTTAAAACAAAGAGTATATAATATATATTTTTAAATTTTTTAAATTTTTTTATAAAAGTTTTAAATAAAACAGTTAAGAAAAAGCTAGTACTAACTAACCCAGCCAGTCATCTTCACCCTTCTACAGAAGTCAACGTCACTCCAACAGGTCTCATCGATCACAGTTTTTGAGTGCTCTGTAACGTCCACAGTTCCCGCTGAGGAAGTGAATACTATTCTTCTCACAGTTTTAGCCTTCTCGCATGCTTTCATTATGTCTAGTAATCCGTTTATTGTAGGCTTGATCACTTCGTTCTGCATTTCCATTCAAATTTCTAACCATATCAGAGTCCCTCAATGTTACAAATTTCAAAACTAATTTTCACTAATTATTTATATAACGTTATCCCTTGATGTTTAAATATCTAATAATATGTTAGTTTTATTTAATGCTTTTAAATTGATGGAAAAAATGAAATATTAAATAGAACAAATTAAGTAAAACAAATTTTATCATATTGTATTTCGTTCAAAGGAAAATGAAATTTCAGATAATTGACGATCATGAGAAAATTTCAGAAACTTGGCAAAACTTCCCCCAATAAGATATATAATAAAGAAAAAGAAAAGGACTAGCTAGACTAGTGGTTGCTATCGCGGAAAGTTAGATTTGAAAACATTAGATATATCTCTGTAACCAATCATTGCATTTTGCAACACGTCAACAAGAAGTCGCCGACACGAAAGGGGTATTAAGCGATGTTATTGGCATTTTATCATATTGTGTGTCAATTTAGAAAGTTATGATTTTGGTGAATAAATAAACATAAATTGAGTGTCTGTCTTCAACAAGAGCCAAAATATGAGCAAAGAATAAAACTATTTACTAATTAATTTACCAATTATACGTATTAATATATAGTTTATTAGTATGTAATATACTGAAAATATACTAAAGTATTTGATGTTTTTCTTGAGAAAATGTGACAGTCATTCATTGCATTAAGCTTTTTATATTTATTTATTAACATTAGGGTAGGGTCATATAGCATCATTTTGACAATTTAGTACCCGGGGATGATGGGAGATATATAGCAGTTTAACAATGTCATTAAAAAACTTGGTGTTATGTATTTAGAAATCAAGTGTGAATTTGATGGATCATGAACATACCTCAGGGTCCTTCGACTCAAAATCCATGGGTGTAGCCACATGGAAAACTCCTGTGCAACCTTTAATGGCTTCGTCAAAGCTTCCCTCTACCGCTAGGTCAGCCTTCCAGAGAGTCAGGTTGGTATTTGCACCTGGCAGTTCTAGCAAATGCTTCACCTTCTTCATGTTAGCTGCAGGGTACGTGCATATAATGCTTAGTTTTAATTATATTATTTTTGTTAATTAGTTTATGTGAAATATTAACCTCATGTGATAGGAGACAATAAATTTCTCCTATACACTAAAAAAAAATTTGAGTTCCACTTCAATTTTTTTTTCTTCTTTTTTTGTACAATGAGACTCACATAAAATTATGAGTGGAACATGAGATATTATATCTCCTGTTACATACGAAAATATAATCCCGTAGTTTGTGAAAGAGGTGAATTTGGGCATGACATAAAAAATGATGGAAAAAATGGGACCTGGGTCGCGTACGGTGGCTCGAACCTTATAGCCATGTTCGATGAGTCTCATGACAAGCCATGATCCAATGAAACCAGCAGCCCCTGTAACGCAAACGGTTTCGGATGCTGAACCCATATTCTCTCTCTCTCTTTTTTTTATTCGACTTGGATGGAAAATGGAACGGAAGACAAGATGTGTACTGGGTGCTTTTATATAGGCTATTGTACTTTATAAGAGGAGTGTGTCTGCCAAGGAATAAGTGAGGGAAGCTTTACCTACCAATCTAGAAATTCTGTTGAGCATGAACTGAGGGAGAGTGGGGGTTAGCTTAATTTAGGGTATGTTGGAATATTTTATGGTCATCAAAATGACATGATAATTGACACATAATGCAAAATGATATTTAATAGAGTAAAGTTATAATATATTTGGATGTGAGATGAATTTCCTTCATATCATTCATTGTTATTTTTAAATATCTAAATAATTATAACTTGTATCATTTAATTCGATTTAGAATGTACTTTAGATTATCCTTAAAGGGCAATGCGCATGACACATCTTTGGGTTTGGCCACGTAACTCGATGTCTCACTTGGGCTTTGGTACGTGTTATGGCATCTTCATTCAACACGTGATCACCAGCCAGTTATAAAGAGTTAGCTGAAGAGCTGGTGACTGGTGGCTGACTAGCTACTCGGTCATCTCCCAATAATTCATTGTTTGTTCCTAACTTCCTATCTTTGGCTTTTAGCAAGTTAGCAACAATGTCAATGCAACTTCAAATTACATTTGGCTTTAATTTAATGTAATTTGAATTTAAAATTTTTATATTATTAATCAGTTAAATTTTAGTACTTTATTAAAAAAATTTATTATTTTTTATATTATAATTATGATAGTTAAGCCTTTCTTAACATAAATAATAATAAAATTTACTCTTACCTACATCGAAATTAAATTCCAATTAACATTGACCAACCTACTTGATTGCATATGGCTGCATATCATTTCATTTAAAGAAAAAGTACAACTCCATTAAAAATGTGAATCAACTGGTATACATGATTGTTCTAGTTCTATCGGTGATTTTAAGTTTGAATTTTGAGTATGTAATAGTGTTAAAAATTTGGTAAAAGGAGAATGACTCTTCGATTTTTGTTTTTGTTTTCTTATTGTCTCATGTTTCGTTAACTTTTAGTCACTGCGAAAAGTGAGTCAACTCAACTGTATATTCGCTTTGCCACCCCGAAAGTAAAAGGTTTCTGGTTTGCAATATGGATAATTCTTTAAGACTTCGGGTTATATTTGATTTTATTAACAAAATCAAAAAATTACAATGCTTGTGACAACGAGAGTGGGAATTTCCCAAGGATATATTGAAAACTACAAGTTTCAGTATAAAATACACATGTTTTACATGGTTGATAACCAGTGGCGGAGCCATATACCTTGTGGGTGTGGCCTCGATCCGGGCTAAATTTTAATAAAGTATACTTATTATATATAATTACATAATTAATTATAATTTAGTCCGGGTTAAAATTATAATTTGGCTCGGGTTATAATTTATAATTTTCACCTATCTAAAACTTAAAATATTTTTGGTAAGAGATTTGGGTAAGTTGTATTAGGTTATGTATTCAATTTCTACTTGTACAAATTTTTTTTTAATAAAATTAAAAAAATAATAATAAAATTATAAGGAAAATATTATATTTACAAACTTTTTGTTTACAAGCTCTTACAAATTATACTATGTTTGACCGGTCATACTTCAATCAAGAGTGTATGACCGGTCATACTTAGTGTAATTTGTAAAAAAATTTTGTAAACGGATCTTTCTCCAAATTATAATTCTTCTTGGCACTTCTTGCTCAGGTGCTCTGTATTTAATATAATTTAATTGAGGAGGATTATATTTACAAACTTTTTATTTACAAACTCTTTCAAACTACACTATGTATTCCCAAAAAAGTTACATTACGTACTTCCGGGAGTATCTAGTATAATTTGCAAAAAAATTTAAAAAAAATTTATAAACAGATTCTTTCCCAATTTAAATATATTATGATATGAATTAATTAAAATTAAGAAAAATAATTTCACATATAATTTTTTGACCCGGACTCAAATTTGATCCCGGCTCCACCACTGTTGATAACTAACTTTATTAGATGTTATTAGGTAGTATTAGATGCCTATGTGGTTATATGATACGTTGGGCTAGCACGGTAGATCAAGGAGAACAAAGTCAGGCCCTGCTTGGGCCAAGGATTATGTGTCACATGCTGCAAAAGCTAAGAAGAAGTAGCTTTGTTAGTTAGAAGGTTACTAGTTTATGCGTGAAATACTGGTAGTAATAAGGGAATTGTATAGTTTGTTACAGATATTAGTTACTGAAAGTGTAAGGAATAACGTGTAGGAGGAACTGTATATAAGGTACTTTTACTGATAGACATGGTATGAGAATAATATTATGATGTTTACGTAAAATATAAGTGTAACTTGTATCATCTGGTGCTTTCATTATCTGAAACTCAATTTCATTATCTGGTGCTTCATCAATGCATCAATCAGCTTATAGAATCCATTGATGCAAGAATTGAGGCTCGATTTACAGCGATGGAGACGCGACTAAGGAAGCTGTTATCAACTAGATCGAGTCGTTCGCAAGGTAATTGTTGAGATATTATAGTCCCAAATTGGTTGTATGTGGGAACGTGGTGGGCCCATAACCCACAGGTCCCTGGATCGAACCAGACTCTGATATCATGTAAAGAACCTTGGGATACACTACCCCAAAAGTTAGCTCAAAGGGTGGGAGTGCCCAAGACCTTATAAACTCCGTATTGATTGTACATACAACCAACATAGGACTATAATATCTCAACAGTAATAATCATGAACCTCGCAACGAAGCTCATTATGAAGATCCACTTGATCATTGTTCAGCCCTTAAAACTGTCAAGATGGAAGTTTCGTTTTTAGTGGCCAAGATCCCAATAATTGATCTTTCGCACATAGATGTATTTCCAGATTCAACGAACACCTGAAACCTTGAAGGTGCAAACTGGCGGGAGTTAAGATGGAAGGAGCAGCAGCTTCATTGTACCATGTTAAGTAAACGTTAAATGTTACTTTAATGGTTTTAAATTTGTCAGTTATGGATAGTTTATGAGTCATAAGTTTAGCATTAAGTTTAGGAGTTTTGAAAGGTTAAGAGTCAGTCGTTATGTTTTGTTATTAAGTTTGGTTTTAATTGTGGTTTATGACTATTTAGTGTTGCAGTTTTAGAAAGGCAAACTGTAGCGCCTATAAATAGTCTAGTATATTGTTTGAGAAATATAGAATTGAGAAGCAACGAAGTTTAGTAAAATATTTCACAGAAGTTTGTTCTCTTTCTCCACAAGTCCTCACGACTTCTGCCTTAGTAAAAATCCTTTGTTTTACTCTTCTCCTAACAAATTGGTATCAGAGCTTGGGCACGAGATGGAAGTGCCACTCTTCCATGGAGATAAAGATGAAGCATTAGATTGGCTTCTTTGTTTGAAGGAACATTTTCGGAAAGAAAAAACCTGGACGGAAGACAAATGGCAGGTAGCCATGAGAAGACTCAGAGGAAGCGCAATCAAATGGTTCCGTACATGGAACTCCCGCGACTTTAATAATATGTGGAAGGATTTTCTAATGGCCTTCATAACAAAATACTTGCCTGGACGTTTTGATCTGATTAATGAAGAAGATGAAATCTTCAATGATGAAGATGAAGATGATGAGAATGATGCGGATGAAGAAGAGACCGAGATGGCGGAATCCGAGGTTGCCAACGGCAACGCATCCGCGGAGGAGATTGACGTGTCAGAACGCGTAAGAGACGACTCGGAGAAGAAGACGATGGAGATGACTGCGGCCGAAGGAGCCGAGATAGAAGAGGAGGAGAACAAGGGAGCCGAGATAGACGGGAAGGAGAACGAAGGAGCCGAGATAGACGAGGAGGAGAACGAAGGAGCTGAGATAGAAGATGAGGAGAACGAAGGAGCCGAGATCGAAGCGGAGAAGGACGGGAACGACGAGTCCATTGTCGAGGTAGAAGACTTCGCGGAACCTGAGTATTTGGAGACAGAGTTGAAAATCGGAAAGGAGATTGAGAAGCCGAGGTGCTTGATAAAGACCGGCATGGAGGAGACTGCGAATCCGAGTTCCGTGTTGATAACCGGGATGGGGGAGATCTCAGCTAAATCACCAAGTTCATGTTTTGGAGAAGAGCTCGACCCCAGCGTGATGAGGTTGATGTCGGAGACCGGCATAGGCGCGGTTCGGGTTGGAAGTCAAAAGTCAGAGACTGCATTGAATTTACGGTAAAAATTGAAGATGTCGACAACACCAAATAGAGACAATTTGTTCACTTTTTACACCTATGATAAGACATAACACTGCATCTACAAGATTGAAATGACGCCATCACATATTCAAGTAATGGCCAAGTAAACATGATTCATTGCGGGACCCACCCGTTTAGTGAGAAGCCAAAGATAATCATTAATTGTCTGAAGCCAACTTTCAACAGAGATTTATAACACCGCCCTATGCCTATTCATCTATTAGTCTAGGAGCTAGTGGTTAAAGCAAATTTACGGAATTTTATTCTATAGTTCCTTTTTTTCTTTTTCTTCTCTCTCCTCTCAAAGAATGTATAGTGGTGAGCTGGTGCCATTTCAATATCCCGCCTTGAAGATCGTTCAATGCAAAGTAATTTGATAGACCAAATTTCCATTCATCACCGCGGGACTATATATATATATATATATATATATATATATATATATATATATATCGGTAATATTACTCTCATGTAATATGAGAGTAGTTCTCTCATGTTACAGAGAGAATCCAAGTAAGATCCTTAAGATCCGTTATTTAAAAGCAAAAAAGAAAAAGAAAAAGAAAAGGACACGATTTTTGAAGTGAGAGAAAATGAAATAATTACCTCATGTAAAATAAGAGTAATATTTCCCTATATAAATATTTCTGCAGCCAATTTAGATAAGGTTATCTACCGTTACTGTTTTTAACTATGTTCTCTCGGGAGAACATAGTTATAGCAGTAAAGTTGCTTTTTTTTTTCTCTCCTCAGTTACTTTTCAGA